TTATACACTGTTTACTGGTCAAGTTTAACAGATAGGCGCAGCTACAGGTGCCTAAGGTGTCCATCTATTAATGGTTCACTTGAGCACAAATTAGATTCTAGCTGAAAACTTGTCGCCGTGAGTTCGCTTAACAACTGATTTAAGTCGTTCCAAGTAAGCACATTTCAAGCGTGATACAATACAACGTTGATATCAAAATGTTTTAAAATCGTATAAGGAGCACACGTACAAGTCAATTACGGTAAATGCTAAACTTGAGCAACCGGTATATAGATCCGCACCAAGTACAGCATACATCATCATTGCCATTGAGCGCACGAGACAAAACGTGTTTGACTATTATCATATCACTACTAAACTACCACTAAAACACTATTAAAAACACTAAATTTTTGATTTCCTGAATATGCCTTATCGCCCTCAACATATAATAATAAACTTCAATCTTATCCTAGTAATATGGTGTTTACTCATCTTGTAGGTCCATTCTTCAGATTCATTCAGATTCATCGTATTTAAGGTTCGTTATTTAAGTGAGAGCAAAGTTTGCTAACAATCGTTACAAATACAGAAAAGCGTGGCTAAATAAAGTTTGTCGATATTTCAAAAAAGTGTTCCATTCATTAAAATAATTTTCAAAGTTTACAGTGAAATATCCGGCCTACAGGACTAGGAAAAAAATTTGGATCATCTTCTTGTACTAAAAATTTGAAATCTATGGTTACAACAATTAATCGATGGAAAAGACAATTTGATTTATGAAGGAATATTGAAAACAAAGAAAATTACCAAATGACTTGTTATCAGCCTGTTTCAAGTCATTTGGTATTGCCACCGTGTCTGAAAATCTAAATGAAACAAGGGTCTGCACGGCCGCTAAAATTTAAATCATAATGCCACCGTTGACATCTTGGTGACTAGCTAATGTCAAGGGAGTTAATGTCAAATTCTAGTTGAAGAACTCGAGCATCTTGATCTATATTATTTCTAGCTTAGTATGAAAATGTGATGCATCTTTGATCAAGGCATGATAATTGCGCACGAAACCGTTTAACATGAAAATATTGACGGAACCTTTGTATTCTGTAAATTAGGTTTCAGATTTGCTACCTCACTTTGGGCAACTCTAGAAAGCTTGCTACAAACAGATATAGAAAAGAACAGTAATCCAGAGGTATAAATACTATTTTCGATATAAATATGTATGTATGTAATTACTTTTTCACACCCTGTATGAATGTGAAAATCACATCTGTGGCGCGATTGAATAGATTTGAGTTTGGCTTCAACCAGTGGCAGCGACTTCCTCATTCCTCCCTTTGTATGCAATAAAAATATGTTTTATAAATGCTATTATTTTTGCTATTATTTTACCTTTTCCGACTTTCTCGCATGTTTCATTAGGTTTCGGTTATCACGTGATCCATCACCAAGCCTTTAGCGTGCTTTTTTATAGGATGCGTAGAGATGCGGAAACAGACGAAAGTCTTGCAGGTGTTTTGGAAAGCTGTATTGCATATTTGCAGTTACACGGGCAGCACTAGTCAAGTGTTTTGAAAGAAGCTAGATTACAGTTGCATTAGCTAGCATTCGATTGTATTATAAAAGCTGTTTTCGTCCATCAGTATGGTGCATATCATATGTGTACCAACAGACTTTTTACGAGACTTTTTACATAGTAGGATTGGGGGTAACTAATTGTTTCAATAGGCCGCTAAACGAAATTGGTGAGACCGATTTTATCATTTAGTTTATCTGTGGAATTACTAATATATCTAGTCGTTATATTTCTTTCCCTTGAACTTAGATTCACTCTGTGCAAGAGTATTAGCCAGAATCAAAAAATCTGCTTCGAGGATTCTAAATTGTCCTCAGATAATAAACGAGAACATTCAGCAAACAAAGACCATGATGCTAAAAGCAACATCAATAGTAAGTAGTGTTTCAGATCTTACTACAAATGCAGTTATAACTGTAATATGGACAAATGTGGAACAGCCACAAATGAATAACAGGCAAGACAGATCTTGCACGATTCATCCGCACAATTTTTTAAAGCTGTTTCCATACAGCTTGCTGCTGCACATAACTCACTACACTAGCTAGAGATTGGATATATTTTCAAAGCGAAAGAGAAATCAAATCAAAATTTCCAAATTATCAAAATTTCCGAGCTTAACAACTACCTCCAAAAATAAAAATATAATAACTCGTGTTTGAGTAACTTCAGTGTTATTGAATATGCATTAGGTATTTAGAGCGAGTCTACCTAAACTTCACTTTGCTTCATTTACATTAGATGTTGTTTTGCAAAGCAAAACTGTCAAGAGCTTTGCCCTTTCGCCGTTTATTTTGTTACTAAAAATCAACCATTCTGGAGACAAAATATTCGAAGTCATACACCTAGCAAATATCGACAAAAAGCAAAACGAATACCATAAATACCATTGCGGTGAAAGATTGCAAAAGTCAATCGAACCATAAATACCATTGCGGTGAAAGATTGCAAAAGTCAATCAAAAATATCTAAATTGCTCAACGAAGCATACAAATAATCGATGCATATTTTATGTCATGCGGCAGCTGCCGGTTCTTTTCTGAATAAGGGTAATGTTACCCGCTATTTTCTCAATAATAAAATAATAACATTTATATTCTACATTTTGATTCTCCATGACTATAGTGCAATACTGTTTAAACTATTTAAAAAAAACTCAGCTTAGTGCTTCTCGTTATCATGAATCGTTTACGGAAATATCCAGGGTTGTCCCTGGGATGGGATGAGACAGCACACCGCTGTATTTCCCATGGGACACGAAGACCGTACGATTTTCGGGGAAATTATGTAAAACATTTCGTTATGGAGTTGTGTCTATATATTTGAACATAGATCTTTTGTTAGTCATGAAGGGCAACATATATTCAGCATCAACAATACTCCGTGAAAGGGTTAATGGACACATGCATATTAAGTGAATATAAAGCTGATAAAGTTCGTAAATTTTGTTGTTTTGCAAGTCTCTTCTTACATTACTAGGGATGGGATGGGACAAATAATGTATATCATAGACAGGCCTGGAAATATCGATGCCGTTGGATGCCTTCATTGAACCTTCAAGAGGTGAATCTTTTGAAAGAATGCATGGAACTACTATTTTAAGATTAATGAAAACAATAAATATAACTTGGAACATTAAAACTGATGCTAAATACACTACAATATTGGTTTCCATCGTCCACCTTTTACGAACATGATAACTTGTAGGGTACATGGAATTCTCAGTCCAGGAGCAGCAGTACTAATATTTAGTCCAAGCGAACTCTATAAACTCTCTTCGGACTGGCTTACATTTTGTCAGATATTTCACAACAAGCGCTAATTTTTATAGGTAATCCATACTTCTATATATCGAATATATAACACTTGCAATTACGAAATCATTTCATTCATACATTTCCTTATTCAAAGATCGCTTACACAGAAATATAAAACACATCGCATAGCTACGTTGAATATTTTATCTTCGTCATGTAAACCAATCCAATCCGGTTGACAATCTGGACGTAAACAAATAGAATATAACACTGAAATTTTGCGACAATTAATTAATGATTAGTACGCACGCAAATACACGGGTTTTCTCATTCTAGTTGAATAAATTACATCAATGTAGTATTTGACCACTGATATTGATGCCTACATGCTATTCTGCAAGTTGTCATCGAACTCCACCTCATTGGATGGAGCGTCGCGGTTGGAACAAGCGCGAGAGGAATATTTTGTGCAGAAAGTTGTAATGTTACTTGTGTGGAAATGCCAGTGCCGTGTTACTACAATAATGTTGACGGCACAGGAGCAGATATTTTCTTTTGCATAAGTTGGACAGAAGAGAAACTGATAGGGCACAAATTGCTACTTTAGAAGGATAATACCGTCGTTCACGTAAACATTTAGCCGAAATCTCAAGGTTTTCTTACAACCCAAGATGTTCCCCGTTCATAAGCAGGAAGCTCACAGAGGTATGTCCAAGATCATGCAGGCATCTTATGTGAGTTATATGGCGCGACACACGGTTAAGCTATTTTATGAGTTGTCTATTAGTGTAAATTGTATTTTTGTGATTTTCAATTGTTATTCTTGCGTATTTTTGATAATAATAAGCTTACTTTCTAATTATATTACAGCATTGTTTCAAACAACTTTCATTGAGCCTCTGAAACAACTTCACGGAGTCTGTATATTATATGTTTAATTCACAGTAAATTATTAGGATCCCTTTCGTCGTATTATTATTTTTGATCTTTAGTTTTCTTCGTTTTATTAACTGCGTAAACAATATCATAAATTAAAACAAATCACAACCATGCTTTCATATCCACGTGTCTTTATTACATGTACCGAAAACATGGGAATAAACATATGGGATTGCGGTCCTTGACTTAGCGTAACGTTAACACCCGATTTTGGGAGATAATTCCTATGGGATCCGTCCACACCCGATTTCTCATGGGTATTTGACTTCGCCAAAGCCGGCATACTACCCAGTAATTAATTGCACGTACCCTATTAATTTAAAATTACATTGGTTTTACTTCAAAGGTAATTTTTACCGGTTAGTTGTAAGTTGTGAGGTAGCGGGCAAATTTGACTTAATGCTTTTTTGCTAGCCGGTTTGAAAAACACTTCATTTAGATTTGAGTCTCTTCATAACGGATGTAAGTACTCCAAAAAACAGTGCTTAAGAAAACTCTCTTTTATTTAGGAACTGATCAATGCTCACACTATTTTACGTTTTAGGATTGGTAAATGTGAGAGACAACGCAACACTAATTCATATTTAATAATTTTCCTGACAGAGAATTTGTGTTGCTGTTTAGGCTAAATAAATAGGATCTGAAAATAGTCTAAAACAGGGTTCTTGAACTTTTGAGCCGCGCCCCCCTTTGAAAATTTTTACAAACTTCGCCATCCCTCCCCCCCCCTCTTTTTGCTTTGAAAAAATGCTTTTGTGATGGACAAGTTGTTATATATTAAGATGGCGCTATAACTGAGTGGTTGGTTATATTTCTTTCCCGTGAACTTAGATTCACTCTATGCAACAGTATTAGCCAGAATCAAAAATTCTGCTTCGAAGATTCTAAATTGTCCTCAGATAATAAACAAGAACATTCAGCAAACAAAGACCATGATGCTAAAAGCAACATCAATAGTAAGTAGTGTTTCAGATCTTACTACAAATGCAGTTATAACTGTAATATGGACGAATGTGGGACAGCCACGAATGCATATCAGGCAAGATAGATCTTGCACGATCCATCCAGATCACACTCCGCACAATTTTTTAAAGCTGTTTCCATACAGCTTGCTGCTGCAGATAACTCACTACACTAGCTAGAGATTGGATATATTTTCAAAGCGAAAGAGAAAAGATCAAAAATAGTCCTACGAGATCATGATATTTATTGGCTGTTTTATTTTCATTGAGCTAAGCACAAATCCATGGGGAAACTCTTATGAATGCATTTTCAAGTGATACAATCAAATTGATTATGTTGAAACTGTATGTCGCTAAACCGGATAAACCTCAACAAGAAAGCAAGTTGTATAACGTTGAAGATTTGCTCTCATGCCTGAAATCAATCATTATGAAGCAGAGGCAGAACTGTCCGTTTCAAAACATTGATGACTCAATGACTAAATTCAATGGAAGGTATACTTCTAAGCAATACCTTCCCATGAAGGCTGTAAAACGTGGGATGAAACTCGAACGCGATGAGACCCTCAGTGGATATAAACACGATGTGAATGTTTATGCAAGTAAAGATGATAAAGGCCGAAACAGACCATTAGATGAGAAGGCTGTGAAGACTTTACTTACTATACCAGACGGTGAAGATGCATTAGACAGTTTTTTTACTTCAGTTCATCGCATGTACATTAATGCCACATCGCTGTGGACTGCTCTCAAAACCAGAATACATCTTCCAGCTTTTAAAGGAAAAAACTCAGCCGTGGTGATTATAAATTTAACTGTAACATGAATGGAACGTTATCATTTTGACGGAAGGGTAGAAAAAAAGTGTCAGTGCTGAGCAACTTTCACACAAACACAGCCGATGAAGTTAGGACGAAGCAACTAGATGGACCAATAAACATTTTCTGCCCTGCTGCTATACGATGATACATACAAACAAATTATGGGTGGCGTTGATAGAGAGCGCCATGTGGCTGGTGTGTATGAACTAGATCCAAAGTCTACCAAATGGTGGAAAAAATTTCTTTATCGTATACTGGCATTTTCCGATCAATACGTGGTTGATTTACACAGAATTGCACAGACTTTATAAGATCTATACTCCTATTTCGTTGGAACTATTGGAAGCGCTAATTCAACGAAAAAGAGGATGAGTCAACTGAAGCGTTGCAGGAGTACATCAAGACCATCCAAATGCACTTCAATGATGCACAATCTTTGTATCACCTTCCGTGTCATAGTAGTACCAGAAGAAGATTGCGGAAAAGCAGGGAACAAAAAACTAGCTAATGTGAATCTAGAATGGAATGTCTTAAAAAACAGAAACCAAAACAGTATAAAGAAATGATGGTTTCGATTTATAACATCTTTCTGATACGCCCGGCAACGAGATTGATTGTTTTATTTGTCAATACTGATACTTGTCTAGTCTGATCGAGGTAAATGCAGAATATATACGCCATGAACAGCAGTATTTTGCAGTCATCCGATCATAGTTACTTCCAATTTAAAAACAATAAAATAATGTATTTTATCATGAACATACAGCTCTATGCTACCTTACTATTTGCCATCGGCAGCAAATTTTTGAAATGAATGAAACAAAATATAATGATTTGTGATTGAGTACCACACTTCAAGGGTTTGGCACAAATCATAACTAAAATTCCAAACGCCATATTTCACGAGATTGGTTATTATGAGCAGGGTTTGAAAAACTTATTATGCAATTCTCTTTACTTATTGTATATATGTAGAAATGAGATCAAAAAACGATTTAGTGTTCAATGAATACGCATTAAACATCTGGAGCGAGGTTATCTTAACTCCACTTCGCTTTATTTATAATTTCGCGGCATGCGTATGTTGTTTTGCAAAACAAAACTGTGATAAGCGCAATTCAATGTGGATTTGCCGTTTCCGAGCTTAACAACTACCTCCAAAAATAAAAATATAATAACTCGTGTTTGAGTACTTCAGTGTTATTGAATATGCATTAGGTATTTAGAGCGAGGCTACCTAAACTTCACTTTGCTTCATTTACATTAGATGTTGTTTTGCAAAGCAAAACTGTCAAGAGCTTTGCCCTTTCGCCGTTTATTTTGTTACTAAAAATCAACCATCTGGAGACAAAATATTCAAAGTCATACACCCAGCAAATATCGACAAAAAGCAAAACAAATACCATAAATACCATTGCGGTGAAAGATTGCAAAAGTCAATCGAAAATATCTAAATTGCTTAACGAAGCATACAAATAATCGATGCATATTTTATGTCATGCGGCAGCTGCCGGTTCTTTTCTGAATAAGGGTAATGTTACCCGCTATTTTCTCAATAATAAAATAATAACATTTATATTCTACATTTTGATTCTCCATGACTATAGTGCAATACTGTTTAAACTATTTAAAAAAAACTCAGCTTAGTGCTTCTCGTTATCATGAATCGTTTACGGAAATATCCAGGGTTGTCCCTGGGATGGGATGAGACAGCACACCGCTGTATTTCCCATGGGACACGAAGACCGTACGATTTTCGGGGAAATTATGTAAAACATTTCGTTATGGAGTTGTGTCTATATATTTGAACATAGATCTTTTGTTAGTCATGAAGGGCAACATATATTCAGCATCAACAATACTCCGTGAAAGGGTTAATGGACACATGCATATTAAGTGAATATAAAGCTGATAAAGTTCGTAAATTTTGTTGTTTTGCAAGTCTCTTCTTACATTACTAGGGATGGGATGGGACAAATAATGTATATCATAGACAGGCCTGGAAATATCGATGCCGTTGGATGCCTTCATTGAACCTTCAAGAGGTGAATCTTTCGAAAGAATGCATGGAACTACTATTTTAAGATTAATAAAAACAATAAATATAACTTGGAACATTAAAACTGATGCTAAATACACTACAATATTGGTTTCCATCGTCCACCTTTTACGAACATGATAACTTGTAGGGTACATGAATTCTCAGTCCAGGAGCAGCAGTACTAATATTTAGTCCAAGCGAACTCTATAAACTCTCTTCGGACTGGCTTACATTTTGTCAGATATTTCACAACAAGCGCGAATATATAACACTTGCAATTACGAAATCATTTCATTCATACATTTCCTTATTCAAAGATCGCTTACACAGAAATATAAAACACATCGCATAGCTACGTTGAATATTTTATCTTCGTCATGTAAACCAATCCAATCCGGTTGACAATCTGGACGTAAACAAATAGAATATAACACTGAAATTTTGCGACAATTAATTAATGATTAGTACACACGCAAATACACGGGTTTTCTCATTCTAGTTGAATAAATTACATCAATGTAGTATTTGACCACTGATATTGATGCCTACATGCTATTCTGCAAGTTGTCATCGAACTCCACCTCGTTGGATGGAGCGTCGCGGTTGGAACAGGCGCGAGAGGAATATTTTGTGCAGAAAGTTGTAATGTTACTTGTGTGGAAATGCCAGTGCCGTGTTACTACAATGATGTTGACGGCACAGGAGCAGATATTTTCTATTGCATAAGTTGGACAGAAGAAAAACTGATAGGGCACAAATTGCTACTTTAGAAGGATAATACCGTCGTTCACGTAAACATTTAGCCGAAATCTCAAGGTTTTCTTACAACCCAAGATGTTCCCCGTTCATAAGCAGGAAGCTCACAGAGGTATGTCCAAGATCATGCAGGCATCTTATGTGAGTTATATGGCGCGACACACGGTTAAGCTATTTTATGAGTTGTCTATTAGTGTAAATTGTATTTTTGTGATTTTCAATTGTTATTCTTGCGTATTTTTGATAATAATAAGCTTACTTTCTAATTATATTACAGCATTGTTTCAAACAACTTTCATTGAGCCTCTGAAACAACTTCACGAAGTCTGTATATTATATGTTTAATTCACAGTAAATTATTAGGATCTTATTCGTCGTATTATTATTTTTATCTTTAGTTTTCTTCGTTTTAATAACTGCGTAAACAATATCATAAATTAAAACAAATCACAACCATGCTTTCATATCCACGTGTCTTTATTACATGTACCGAAAACATGGGAATAAACATATGGGTTAGCGTAACGTGAACACCCGATTTTGGGAGATAATTCCTATGGGATCCGTCCACACCCGATTTCTCATGGGTATTTGACTTCGCCAAAGCCGGCATCACTACCCAGTAATTAATTGCACGTACCCTATTAATTTAAAATTACATTGGTTTTACTTCAAAGTTAACATTATATTTTTACCGGTTAGTTGTAAGTTGTGAGATAGCGGGCAAATTTGACTTAATGCTTTTTTGCTAGCCGGTTTGAAAAAGCACTTCATTTAGATTTGAGTCTCTTCATAACGGATGTAAGTACTCCAGAAACAGTGCTTAAGAAAACTCTCTTATATTTAGGAACTGATCAATGCTCACACTATTTTACGTTTTAGGATTGGTAAATGTGAGAGACAACGCAACACTAATTCATATTTAATAATTTTCCTGACATAGAATTTTGTGTTGCTGTTTAGGCTAAATAAATAGGTCTGAAAATAGTCTAAAACAGTGGTTCTTAAACTTTTTGAGCCGCGCCCCCCTTTGAAAATTTTTACAAACTTCGCCGCCCTCCCCCCCCCTCTTTTTGCTTTGAAAAAATGCTTTTGTGATGGACAAGTTGTTATATATTAAGATGGCGCTATAACTGAGTGGTTGGTTATATTTCTTTCCCGTGAACTTAGATTCACTCTATGCAACAGTATTAGCCAGAATCAAAGAGGCAGAACTGTCCGTTTCAAAACATTGATGACTCAATGACTGAATTCAATGGAAGGTATACTTCTAAGCAATACCTTCCCATGAAGGCTGTAAAACGTGGGATGAAACTCGAACGCGATGAGACCCTCAGTGGATATAAACACGATGTGAATGTTTATGCAAGTAAAGATGATAAAGGCCGAAACAGACCATTAGATGAGAAGGCTGTGAAGACTTTACTTACTATACCAGACGGTGAAGATGCATTAGACAGTTTTTTTACTTCAGTTCATCGCATGTACATTAATGCCACATCGCTGTGGGACTGCTCTCAAAACCAGAATACATCTTCCAGCTTTTGAAGGAAAAACTCAGCCGTGGTGATTATAAATTTAACTGTAACATGAATGGAACGTTATCATTTTGACGGAAGGGTAGAAAAAAAGTGTTAGTGCTGAGCAACTTTCACACAAACACAGCTGATGAAGTTAGGACGAAGCAACGAGATGGACCAATAAACATTTTCTGCCCTGCTGCTATACGATGATACATACAAACAAATTATGGGTGGCGTTGATAGAGAGCGCCATGTGGCTGGTGTGTATGAACTAGATCCAAAGTCTACCAAATGGTGGAAAAAATTTCTTTATCGTATACTGGCATTTTCCGATCAATACGTGGTTGATTTACACAGAATTGCACAGACTTTATAAGATCTATACTCCTATTGGAAGCGCTAATTCAACGAAGAGTACATCAAGACCATCCAAATGCGCTTCAATAATGCACAATCTTTGTATCACTTTCCGTGTCATAGTAGTACCAGAAGAAGATTGCGGAAAAGCAGGAAACAAAAACCTAGCTAATGTGAATCTAGAATGGAATGTCTTAAAAAACAGAAACCAAAACAGTATAAAGAAATGATGATTTCGATTTATAACATCTTTCTGATACGCCCGGCAACGAGATTGATTGTTTTATTTGTCAATACTGATACTTGTCAAGTCTGATCGAGATAAATGCAGAATATATACGCCATGAACAGCAGTATTTTGCAGTCAACCGATCATAGTTACTTCCAATTTAAAAACAATAAAATATTGTCTTTTATCAGGAACATACAGCTCTATGCTAACTTACTATTTGCCATCGGCAGCAAATTTTTGAAATGAATGAAACAAAATATAATGATTTGTGATTGAGTACCACACTTCAAGGGTTTGGCACAAATCATAACTAAAATTCCAAACGCCATATTTCACGAGATTGGTTATTATGAGCAGGGTTTGAAAAATTTATTATGCAATTCTCTTTACTTATTGTATATATGTAGAAATGAGATCAAAAAACGATTTAGTGTTCAATGAAAACGATTTAGTGTTCAATGAATACGCATTAAACATCTGGAGCGAGGTTATCTTAACTCCACTTCGCTTTATTTATAATTTCGCGGCATGCGTATGTTGTTTTGCAAAACAAAACTGTGATAAGCGCAATTCAATATGGATTTGCCGTTTCCGAGCTTAACAACTACCTCCAAAAATAAAAATATAATAACTCGTGTTTGAGTAACTTCAGTGTTATTGAATATGCATTAGGTATTTAGAGCGAGGCTACCTAAACTTCACTTTGCTTCATTTACATTAGATGTTGTTTTGCAAAGCAAAACTGTCAAGAGCTTTGCCCTTTCGCCGTTTATTTTGTTACTAAAAATCAACCATTCTGGAGACAAAATATTCAAAGTCATACACCCAGCAAATATCGACAAAAAGCAAAACAATACCATAAATTACCATGCGGTGAAAGATTG